TATGTGAAAAACATTCGAAATTTATTAGGATCCCAAATTTTATTTCGAGGGTCGTCACTGACTCGAATTTTAGGGTCACAGATCCGTCCTTTAATTTTTGCGGTTATATCAGATAATAAAAAAAAGTACTAGCGCTCCTAAAGTTTTTCTGTTCTATACCTACAACCCGAAATAAAGTGCTCGAGAAAGTTAATTTTTTCCCATGTATAAGAAATGAATTTGTTTTATTGATTCTCAATGCATGATACTTTTATCAAAATTCTGTGGAAAAACTTATCTCGATTACGCTAATTTCTGTTAGCTATACGCTCAAACGGCTACGCGCAATTCTTTTCCTTTGATGAAGACATAACTTCTCGCCGATTTCTTTTCCTTTGATGAAGGCATAACTTTTCGCCGATGATCCTCAGGAGATCGCCTGTAGCTAACTACTTATCACGCAGATTATAACCGTTACATTGAACGTTCTATTTCCTGTTGCTAATGTTTATCGTAACGAGCTCACTCTGTGCCAATTACCGTCACACTGCGACGTCTGAATGGCAAAAGCCAATCGCATGACTGATTACGCATGCGCATTGCTTCACCCTGGGCGGTATAACTGTAATTAATTGCCTCGTGAATGTCGTGTGCGTGGATAAGAACACGCGAGAAATTTCACGTATTATGTTTGCGTTGTACTTTTCCTGCATTTTCTACCAATGAAAACGAATTAGCATGTATTCTACATATTGAATGTTGAAATATAGCATATAATTTTCATACAAAATATTAAATGTGATGTAGTTAATGCTTCTTCTCATTGTCAATGTTCAGAGCTATCAACTCATTGCATTGCCAGTTGAAAGCAGCAGTGTTTTTTTTCGCACTCTAACGAATGCCGCTATCGTTCGTAATTTAAATGATAATGATGACTCATCAAAATTTTCATTGTTCACAACGTGATCCAATTATTTACGGTAGCGTTAATATCTCCGAATGTTTTGTTTAGTATTATTCATGTTAACTTGTGACTCAATTCCTTGCGACATTTATTGGACGCGGACCGTTCGATAATTCTCGATAATTTATTTAGGTTCTGAATAAAGAATAAATTGTAGCTCGTGGTTTAAACGAATGAACTAATAATATAATATTTCCGAAGTGATATTAATTTTCATGTTGGAAAACGCACGAACGTGCAACATATCTATGTTTCCTGCGAGTTCCAGCATAGAAAGATGTCTTTGCAATGCCATCATCGACTAGACTAGACTGTCGAAGTTGTAGAAGAATTAAGGCCAGTTTTTTTCTATTAACTGGATTCGACGAAAAAGTTATGTTTGTTAATTTGATAAAATCTGTTAAGTACTGTGGCGTCTCTTTTCTAATATCAGCGTTTCGTGGATTTTCATGTTCCCGTTTGATATCCGTATTAGTGGGATAAGTTACATATTTTGCAAAGTTGCTCCTGATATTTGATTATGCAATTTTTTTTGCTACTGGATTAGTATTGAATTAAGAATATTCAAATTCGCGATCTCAGTTGCACATGCATCGACCGTTACGAAGAATTTGGACGAGCCCAAATTGTTCTGATGATGATGATACCTAAGAAAGGCCATTACAGTTCGGGGTGTGAGCTAAACAATATCGTCAACATTTTTGTGCGTGTTTCTGGAGTTCAGTGTGAAATGTTCCTTATTCTTATGTATTCTACTTTACCCTGATGTTCAGGCTAATTTTTCGATAGATGCCTGATTTCCTGTTGAGAATTGACGAATTATCTTCCAAGATGCTCTTTGTGTTCAATATAGGGAGCGCGGGCCGCTCTCAGCAGCTGGCTATCCGTCCGCGCTGTGTCCGCAGAAGCGGACTTGGGAGCGGCGGAAAAGCCTCATTAGCGGTTTTTTGCTCCGTTTTTTAATCCGCGTTATTTTTTTGTTCGAGCTGCATCGAGGTGCTCTGAACTGCTTCAGGATGCAGTGACTTGCAATTGTTTATTCGCCGTATCGATTTGGCTATGCGCCGCTTTTCGGATCTCGAGGTACACGTAAATTAAATTCACGGAAAAACATCTTTAAATTTTGCATTTAGTTTTGTGTTATTTTGCATTTCATGGAGTAATTGATAAACATGAATATATGAACTTAAACAAATAAGTATATTTGTAGACAAATATCCATTCACCTTGATCGAATATATTATGTTTAATGATTTTATGGCTGTTTAGGATCGATTCAGAGAATCAAGCCCGTTAGTTCCTTTTTGCTTTCAACGTTAAATTAAAATATTGACGCCTTAACTGCCACGCCTCTATTAATACATTTTTACGTATCGTACTCAATGATTGTGGTAGAATGGCTTATATTGTATAAAAAAGTATTGGACTTTTTTCCTTCATATTTCATTTCAGTTGATTTGAAAATTTGGTGCTAAAATCTCCGTAATATGGCCGTGCAATCGTTTTTCTGGGCCATGCATAATTCGAATTATGATATGTCTGTTTTGTATAATAGTAAACCATCATTTAAATTTATACTATTCTCTCCAAATCTGAAACTTGTTTTAAAATAATGGAGATAGAGGAGTCGATTATTATTCCTCGCCTGTCGCTAAATTTACTCGATGGTGGTTCAATTTTAGATATTTTTAGCGCATTTTCTCATTTATGGAAAAAAGGCGCTATTGTGCTCGCCATGTCCGTCTGTCCGTCCGTCCGTCTATCTGTCTGTCTGTGCGTCCGTGACTTCAAGTTTTCGTCGACGAGAAAATGCGTTCTCTGTCACTCGCTGCAGTTATATTTCTATATATTTTTGAGTTATATTTTATATATATATATAAAATAGTTATATATATATATAACTATTTTATTTGAGTATATTTTTTATTATCTCGCGACGGTCTTGGTCGCATCCTGCCTGAGCCGACTCGCATGGTCGTCTCTTAGATCCGCTCGATCCAGGCGTGTCCAAAGTTTCGATCGGCCGGCCCAGATATTGCAAATTTACTCAACTTTACTGTTTTATTCCCATATCTAATTAATTTTTATTCGATAAATGAATGAATTATACTCAGTTCACATTAAAATTGAAATGCGAGTTTCAGTGGACATTTTACGTCAAAATGAACCGGCGCATTCGAAATATTAAAAGCTGAACTTTACATTTTGTATCTTCTCATGACGTACTGCAATAATGTAATAATAAAAAAATCTTTAATAATTACAAATTTTCAGAAGGATCTTTGAAAAATGTTGAACTCATCTTTACTAACCTTTTTTGACCTTCCTCATTTTCAACACCGCTAGCCTGACCTCGCTGACCACGCTCGCAATTAAATTCCAAATAAATATAAACCAGAAGTGATTTTTGATTTTTACACTTAAATTACTCACTGGTCGATTCAAAATACTTTTTATCGATGTTTTGCCTGCATCGCCAAGTTCCTCATGAGGTAGCGTGTGAGTTACGTACAGTATATTATATATGTTCTCTCATTTACTGCAGTTCAATGCGACTTCGTTCCCACGTAAATGTTACGTACATGTTCTCTCATTAACAGCAGTTTAATGCGACGTCGTTCCCACGTAAATGTTACGTACATGTTCTCTCATTAACTGCAGTTTAATGCGACTTCGTTCCCCGTAAATGTTACGTACATTTTCTCTCATTAACAACTGTTTAATGCTACTTCGTCCCAACGTGAGTGCTACGTACATGTTTTCTCATTAACTGCAGTTTAATGCGACTTCGTTCCCCCGTAAACGTTACGTACATGTAATCTCACTAACTGCAGTGCGACTTCGTCCCTACGTACATTTTAATTGCAGCAAACTCTCTCCTTAACTGCAGTTGAATGCGATCTCGTCCACTGCCCCTGGAGTGAATGTTACTTACAATATATTTTAAATTAACTGCAGTTTAATGCGGCCTCGTCGTGACCACCGGAATAAATTTATTTTACAGTATTTTACCTCATTAACTGTAAGTTTAATGTGACCTCGTCCATGATTGCCCCCAGAACAAATTTCGTCGTTGCCCCGTGCCATTCTTTACTCCGACCTTTTATTAGGACCTAATTTCACGATGCCATTTAAAGCCGCCAATTACATCCGAGTTCCTTGAATTGCCGTCTCACGTTTCATCGTCGTTTTGAAGTTTAATTCTCTTCACATTTTATGAGGTTCAGTGTCAGTTCGTGTCGTGCATTTTCTTGCCTACAGAATTTCAATTTGTGAAATGAATTAAATCTTCATTTCGAAATATTCAGCAAAAATAAAATAATGATAAGCCTTAGAATTAATCTTGACTTCCTCCACTTGTTTGTTGCGCTGCATTGCAAATTCGGACAATATGTGAAGAACCAAAAATTCAGTAAAATTTGTATTTTTATAGCGCGAATCTTTTTGTCCCCGAAACGAGAGACATCACATTTAATCTATTAAATATATATTTCCGTAATTTCCGTAAATGTAATTTGCGTCAATATTCCCGTACTTGAGTTCATATCTCGTTGGATGGTTCATTAGTACGTCAAATGTTGACGTTGCTTGATATAAGCGGTAAATTAGCTCTTTGAATGAATTGACTTATTAATTATTCCCCTTAAATTAAATGTTGATTTGGATTAAATTGATGTACGCATTTTACCTTTTCCGAGTTTTTGATGGGTTTTGAAATGATCAATAAGGCCGAAATAATTATTGATTTGCAATTTCTAGAACGTTCTTCAACCACTGATATGGTAAAACTGTCATTTAATTTAGCCCTACAGTCTTAATTTTATTCAGTAAATGTTAATTAAAACGTCATATAACATTAAATTCAAAACGCCCTCCGTCAAATAATCCAAAATGTATCGGCAAAATAACTGTTGAGGTTCCACTCCAAATAATAGTTAATATCATCAATATCACCCGCAAAAAAATTTCCATTGCCTAATGCAATTAATTGTAAATGTTTTCTACAAAAAAAAATTTCATGTTCAAAATCATCCGAATTTTCTAACCTAAATTTCAGTGTCCCAGTGAGCACCCTGAGCAGCAGCAGCAGCAGCGATCAGACTCACGTCTGTGCAGCAGCGCAGCAGCAGCAGCAACAACAGAGAAGCATCAGGTATTATCCGCGGCAGTATTTTATTCTTGCATATTATTTTAGATTTCCCATCAATTTATTTTCGTAAATTGATGTCAAAATCATATCATTATTAAGAGAGAGAATCGTTTCACCAGATTACTTTTTAGCGTATTTTCTCATTTATGAAAAAATAAGCGCTATTGTGCTCGTCCTGTCCGTCCGTCCGTCTGTCCGTGACTTCACGTTTTCATCGACGAGAAAATGCGCTCTCTTTCACTCACTGCAGTGTTCTAAGTTCTATTTTTCATTTTATTTGTTTTTTACTGTTGAAATTTCATTTACCGAAGATTAACTGTTATTCCTGTATATCACTGTGTGTGATTTACTGTTAGGTGAGATTTATTCCAACAAAAGTAGCATCGGGCCTGTGCATAGATATTTTACCTTTCTTTTGGTTCTGGGCATGGTCGTATGGTCTCAAGTTTGTCCATGAAATACGTTCTGAATAATTAATGCAAATCACACATCGTCTGCTAAAGCTTCATGTTTGAATAGAGAACTTGAGAGCACATAAAATCTAAAAAATATTAAGCTTGACCCGCTTCAATTAGTCTCCAACATACAAATGTAAAATGAATAAATCATGTTGTAAATGCATTTATATTAATTCAAAGCAATGATTAAATCGACGATCGTCAAAAGTATATTTGATAAACGGCAGATGGTTTGTATTGGGATCCGCTGATATTATCCAAATCCATATATGTCCATTAGGCTTCGACGTTAGGATTTTTACTAGTCAAACTCAATACCTAGGCCAGTTGTGAATCCCGTCTGGGTGAATTAGTTTCCATTAGCGGCATAACAAGCGAGTTGAATGGACCAAATCTGTACAAACGATAAGAATAAATCATTCAATACATTTACCTTCACCTCTGTGAGTATATGAAGGCTAATTATACATGAAAGCGATCCTTGTATCGTATTCTGAACGCGTTCGCGACCCACTCATGCTTGCCATACCGTGGCGCCCTGCTGCCTCGTTGACGTCAAAACAAGTCACTCAAAGCCTATCAAGTGCCTGGTGTCCTAACCACAACCTTGAACATGTCTGCTTTCTATCTTGTGTAGTTTTATTGCTTGGATACAACAAAGATCTTTGCTTGGGTTTTATTGCTTGGATTGATGCGTAGATGAATATTATACACATCATCATGTTTGGATGCCTGAGTTTGCAAAGATGGAATCATAAATATGTATATTTGCGTGCTTACCATTAGACTAAGCTTAATCTGAAACGTCATGTGTGTTGCTTCTATAAGTCTTGGGTGTCATTAGTTTCATGCACGTACATACCACTGCACTGGGTGGAAAGTGAATCTTATCGCTTGAGAGAACTGAGATTTTCTGTACAAAAAATAAATTTTCACGTTGTTAGAGGCTCTTCAAAAAATTAAGGAACTTCTCATTTTTACTGTTAACCGTTGACTGATTAATGTTAGTGTCTATTTTGGTTTCTGTCTATTCTGTCAATATTCATTCGCTTGTGTTGCTGTTAATATTGGTTCTAATTATTTAATTATTCAATTATGTACACTTTTAGTAACAGGATACATGTATTAGTCTTTTCCCCACCATATTTTAAAATAATAATTAATAGTACCTGAAGAGGCTATATATATTATAACAGATATAAATATATATAAGAAGAGTGAAACTCTCTAATTTAAAAAAATCAGAGTTGAAGTAGCACTTTGATTGAAATATTACATATAATTTTACCTCAAAAATATTCAATTAATTCACTTCTTTGCAGATCACGATTTTCACGGGGCAGTAAAGAGAACAAAGAGTCGCCGCGGTCTAGCAGGCGCAGTGAAGAACGTGACCCTGGCAGAGGCTCTCCTCGTTCTGCCAACAGAAGAGAGCGAGATAAGGACTCGAGAGAACGAGAGAAAGATTCAAGAGATGCCAGAAACACATCTAAGTTAACACTTGACTTACAGAGTTCATCGTCTTCCTTGAAAGAACAATGCCTTGCACCTTTGCAGGAACAGCAATCGAAAATAACCAAAGTTGCAGCGCTTACGCCCGCCGCCAAACACCTTCAGCAGTCTTCCACTTCCTCCTGTCCTAGCGCTTCCAGTATGGTCCAGTCTGGCATTCCTCAGGCTGCTACTCCTGGAAGTCCTTTGGCTCCTGGAACTGGCATACCAAAGCCTACTGCTGCTGTCAAAGGCACCGCAAAGACTACCCCGAGTATCGCACAAACATCCTCCATTAAGGAGAAAAACACACGTGTCCCCGCCACTGGAGTCGCTCAAGCCAAGCCAAGAAACACAACTCAGAGTTCCGCCTCAGTCAACGAGGACAAAATCATGCAGAGTCAGAGCTTCGATACCAAAGACATGAAAGGCTCGCTTACACGGCAAAAACAAATAGTTAGAGGGGATAGTGTGAGTGTCGCAATGGTGAGCCCAATGCCTGCCCGAGATATAATTCTTCCGAATGTTAACGCTTCCATGAACTCAAGTGCTTCCAATGTCAACGGAAATGGCCTCTGCTTTAATAATGGGAACCAAGTAACTGCCAGCGAATCAGCGTCTACGTTAAGTGAGGCTTCACAAAACAGCTGTCATTCAACAAACTCTAATTCGTCTGGGTCATCTGTAATATATAGACCTACCAGCTCTGAGAATGATGATTTCGACCTGAAGATAATAAATAAACATGTAAGAACTCTATTAAAGAAAATAATTTTTATGCCCGTGTTGCTATGTGTTGTATGCTGCTTTTGTATCCTGGGAAATCATTTGCTTTACTTTCCATTATTGTTCCAAGAATAATTACATTCTATTAGATCCCCTATTGGAATGTCGACCTTAAAAGGCTATTATTTCTTTCTAAAATTATCGAGGTTGAACCGATGAAATTGTTTGCCTTTTCATTATGAACCAACAATACCACTACACACTAACTAAATTAATGAAGCATTTCATCTACAAGGAAAATTTACCTAATTTTTTAAAACTTTTATCCGAATAAGACCGCGGGTTTACCTAATTCGTTTTTTTTCTCAGCGAGACGTAGAAATTTTCGAGGGCGACGACGGGGACGACGCAGCGGTGCTAAGCAGCATACAGCCCATGCAGCCGCTGATGCGCCCCACGCAGTACATGCGCGGCATCGCCAGCCTCCACAGCCAGAATAAAATGGGTTCGTTTTGATTGGATATAAGTATTAAAATCACTTGTTTGCTATGGGTTCGTTTTGATTGGATATAAGTATTAAAATCACTTGTTTGCCATGGGTTCGTTTTGATTGGATATAAGTATTAAAATCACTTGTTTGCCATGGGTTCGTTTTGATTGCATATAAGTATTAAAATCATTTGTTTGATATGGGTTCGTTTTGATTAGATATAAGTATTAAAATCACTTGTTTGCTATGGGTTCGTTTTGAATGGATGTAAGTATTAAAATCATTTGTTTGATATGGGTTCGTTTTAATTGGATGTAAGCATTAAAATCACTTGTTGCCATGGGTTCGTTTTGATTGGATATAATTATTAAAATCATTTGTTTGCCAAGGGTTCGTTTTGATTGGATATAAGTATCAAAATCACATGTTTGCTTGAATCGCAAGTTAAGCAGGAATTTTAAAGCAAAGATAATAACACAAAAATTCATCATATCTTTATAAGAGAAAACGTTTCGGAGTCCAGCTCCATCGTCAGTTCATAACACAAAATTCTGTTCAGAAAAAATTCAGTCCTAGAAACACAAATAAATCAATTAGTAAAGTAAAATGCACTGTCAACAGACCGTCATGGGTTCGTTTTGGAATTGGATTACACTGTATTCAACCTATTGTCTACTGATATAATCACCTGTTAACATTGTAATTATGTGGTACGTACTCTGATTTTTTTTTCAAAAATTTGTCTACTGACAGTAACTCTAGTTACTTGACGTTTAGTTGTTGTTATCTGCGACAGTCAATGTTTCAACTGTAAAAGTGTTGTTCAGAATAAAGTCATTGTGCGCGTCACCTGTCAACTCTGCGAGATTACCTTGAGCAGTACTGGTGGTTTTATATTCAGGTTATGATTAGTTAGTTTCTTTAATTTGCTGTAAGAATTTTATGTGGATTTTTATATTCTAACCTGACTGTTGGGTGTTGAGGAATTTTTCGTTTCCTCCCCCTTGTTTTGAAAGATATTTGTGATGTTAATATTCAAAATTTTAACCTTTTTATAAGTGCGAGTATATTCATAAGTTCTAGTAAACTTGTTCTCACTAAAGCAAAAATGAATACTTTTGTTTAGTGAGGGAGAAGGGTAAAAGGACCGTTTTTTATGGTAAAAGATGTCATTTTCATTAGCTTTATGGTTTTATTTTTTAATATATATTAATTGTTGCGGAGAGTTAGTAGCAAATCGAATAATTAGCCGTCCTGTGGCAGTTGGTTCTTTCAGGGAGCGGTTATAGTACCTATACCCGTAGTACCTATACCCGATTATAGTACCTATAACCGTATTATAGTACCTTATTAATTGTAGATTAATCTGGACAGCTTGCTTAACTCTTGCCAGAAGCGGTGAAATGTTTAGTAACCTAATTTCGGCTTGGAGTTGAGGAGCGTGCAATAAATGAAATAAATTTTGATAGCCTGTTCAATACTCGCCTCTAATAAAGAATCGTCCTGACACTTAATTTGTTTATGCTGTATTACATTGTTGTGGTATTTTTTAGTGTGGTATGGTTTTATTCTGTTAAACTGAAAAAAAATAACGGCGACCGGTGTTTTTTTCCACGTGCCGGCCGGCCACTGAAGTACCCGTAAGACCGTTTAACGGTGATTTTTCGGACAAAGTATCTGATCATGACTAACGTGCGGCAGGAATGCAAGAGCCCAACAACACGGTTCCCCAGAAGGGGATGCGTATCTCCCTACATCACCCCAGACGGGGACAAATTGGGGGCTTGGAATCCCCCCAGTCTCCCCATCAGCAGCTGCCTCGCATGCCGACACATCACTCCCCACTAGTGGTTATGAGACAGACTGCCAGAGGCGTAACTAACTACCCAGAGATCGAGGGCTTCGATGTTACCAATGGTGAGGGCAATAAACTATATAGTTCATCTTGGGGTTAATTGACCAATAGCCGGGTTAATAATTGGGATATTTGTGTATTTTGATTTAGTGAAAAATGATGCTAGTGTATCTTGGTGTTAATTAATATTAATATAAGTCCACCATGATTTAATGATATCGATATTAGTGAATCTTAGTATTAACCGATATTGATTAAGTGAATCTTGATATTAGTGGATATTTAACTTATATGCTTCTTGGACAATCAATATATATATTAGATATCATTTGGCGAAAACATCATTCTTTTTAAACTTAATAACACACAAAATGTACTAATTGCTACATTTCTTTGTACAGGCTACATGTCGGACGGAGATGTGTTGCGGCCACTACACGTTACAGGCGGCGCAGGCGAGGCGCCGGCGCCCTGCGACCTGGACGGCTACATGAGCGAGGGCGGCGCGTCGCTCTACGCGCACAAAATCAACCAGCGCTTCAAGGAGGGGATACGACAAGTGCAGGAGAGCATGAGCAAAGTCCAGCAGTACATGCATGACGACAGGTCAGTGATTTCTGCATGTTATTACATTTATTAGCTCGTTTATCCTATACTATATGTTTATCCAGTTTTAGCACGTTGACTCAGATTGATTCATCTTGTATTATTATTTTGTTTTTGGTACTATTTTGAATTATGTACCACTACGTCCTGGAGAAATGGAGAAATACACTTCGTGATTTTACTTCATTCTATTTTTATCCAGCTTTAACATGTTGACTCAGATTGATTCATCTTGTACTATTATTTCATTTTTTGTACTATTTTCAATTATTTACCACTACGTCATGGAGAAATATACTTCGTGGTACGCTTAGGTACTACTTTGGAGTCAACGTGTTGAGGTCTGCGTGTATTAAGCTACTATGTATCATCTTACCCCTGTGCAGTTTTAGGAACTGCCTGCATACGCCTTTGCTAAGCGTTTCATCATAAGCCTTTGCAGTTATAGGAGCTGACTGTTATATCATTTATTAGGACTTTGATTCTACCCTTCTGCTATTACTAGGAAAACTTCTAGAGATCGGTGCATTTCCTTGATGTTTATGGGCCATTCAACACTTGAACGACTATTCTCACTTAAATTTTGGAGCAATATGAACGCAGAGAAGACTGATTTTAACCACAAACATTATATAGCTGCTGTCAATAAATGACTGTCTTTGGCATTTTTAAAGTTAATATGTGATGGAAAGATTTATGTAAAGACATGCATCAAGAGCTGCAGTAAAGGAAGTTTTTTGTTCTTCCAATTCTGGTTATTTTTTATTGCTGTGCTTTTCAACTTTTTCGTTGAGCATTGGTAATTTTTGTGATTTTCTTTGGCTAGTAGACAATTTCAGTGCACGTTTGTTGCCATTTCACTTTACGCTTTGCTTTCAATGTATTAATGGGGAAATAATTCGCAAAATTGGCATATGTTGATTTTTTGTATGACATGTCAGCTTTTCTTATAAATGTGCTCGTGTTTAAATTCTGAAGCGATTTTGGGATAATTTTGTCCCTGAAATGCAAAACCGTAAATTACAATTGTGTTTGCAGTGAAAATGTTGGATGATATATCTTTGAAGATTGTGATCGTCAGTACAAAGTTGGATGATTGTTTGAACACGATCAAAAATCTTAAACTTTGCGTCATGGTTGTCATGATGTTGCTTCTCCGCTATTGTGATCTTTGCCTCTTCTAAACATTATCGCCTTAATTCACGCAAAATACTTACTTTTCTTATTAAATAACCCAAACTCACGATCTCATGTTGGATTTTAATAAGTTTTAAGTGCGATCAATGAAAAAAAAGTAGCTTTACATTGTGCCGATAGCTACCAAATGCCTTCTTAATGTGCTCTCGTCCAACACATGCGCGGTTCGTTGCAAATTCCAGAATTTATATTAAATTTGCGAAAATTCAATATTTTTGGGAAGTTTTATCGTTTATTTCACTTCAATTATGAACTTATCACGTCAATTTAAATTTTCATCGCAGATTAACTGACTTACTGGAGAGTTACCGTTGAAAGCTGGTTTTCTGCAAGTTTTCGTTGTGTATCAAAGAAAATGTATGCGATATTGATTACTCCAGACGAGCACGATGAGTCACGATAAGCCAGAAATCTGTCTTTTATTTCATGGAAAACCTTTTTGTGGCGCGTTTGCATTCCTAATTTTACTTTTTAACAAATCTATCCTAACTGCATAATAATTCAGGTGTCATTTGTGTCATTTAGGTGTCAAACTGTCAATGTCTCCCATTCTTAATAACAAAATTTTCTACTAAACTTGAATGACAGCATCGGTATCTACCTATGTCGGAAAAAGGATAATGTTTCTAATGGTTATCTAATGTATTGGGTCTTATTTGAAACTAAGCATTTATACCAAATGTGTTTTTATTTCTAAAAAAGTTCGTCAACTTCGCCCTTCGTAAGTAACCACCAAACGCCGCCTACGTCCCACCAAGATGCTAAATCTTCGTCACAAGTTATGACACAGGAATCTCTCCAAGAACTATTAAGTGAGTCTATGTCAGCCACGGATAACCATGACGATGGACGTATTCTCAAATTGAACTGCTTGAGTCAATACGATGGGTCTTTGTCGGTTACCGATGTCTTATATTCACAAGAAAGACGCTGTGCGAATTCCAGCGAGTTAAATCAGAGTAACAAAATTACCCAGAATTTCGACAATGTGAAGACTACGAATGAAGGTGGTTCAGTTTTTGATCATATGAGTCATGACATATTGCGCTCGCCTAACTCCCCTAAATCAACTCAAAACCTACGCATTACAAGTTCACCCGCAATGTTCTCCACGGCAATGGACTCTACTAATTACATGTCGCAATCGGAAATTCATTGCTCAATGTCAGAGAAAGGTGACCCGAACGATTGCCCGTCAAGCAAAAATTTAGTCAGATCCGCGCCTGGTATTTTTGACCTCAGAAGCAGTGTTCGTTCCAATTTTCCCATGATTTCCACCCTTTGCAGTTCAAATCCTCCTTCGTCTCTACCACCTACTTTTGATGTCTGTGGAGCGCAAGAATCTCTATCTGAAATGCCTTCATCTTTGTCTGCAATTCAATCCAATTCTATTTTACCGTCTCTGTCGTCTCTGTCATTGTCTGCGCCTGCATCGTCGTATGCACATCCGAAAGGAAATAACGACACATACGACAGCAGCTGCTATGGGAATGTTATCAAGTCAAACGATGTTGAAACTGGAGTGTCTTTTGGAAGTAATTTAGCTGGGGTCAGTTACATCAATGGACAAATTTTTAACAGACCCAATATTTCTAGTCATACCCATGACGATTTGGAGGAGTTGGAAGCTGTGGTTGGAGAGTTGGAGGCAACGATCAAACAAATCTTCGATGAAGGGCGTAAAGACAGCCGAGTTGATGGCCGAAGTCCCCAAAACAAAACTGGAAATTTTGGCAATCATCAACAAGAAACTATCAGAAAAACATCCGTGGAGAAAATTGATGATCATGACTATGATTCTGTGAACGACTCTTCCGAAAATCTTGAGCAAACTTTGGACAAAAACCCTAAAGTTGATTCAACTGGTATCGATAGGAGGAATACCGTCAGTTTTGATTTGAATCGCAGCACTGAAACTGATTTTGCTGCCTCGGTTAAGGCAAGTCGGCGTTCACTGAGGTTTTCAAAGATTGTTGTGCCATCTTTCATTTCTCAATTGCCTGGACCCGCACGTAAACTTGAAAAACCTAGCAGCATCCAGACCGAAACAATAAACTCAACCAAAGTAGGCAAGTCGAAGAGTGGAATTAAAAATTCTACCATCCAAGACAATACTGCTTGCAAAAGGAATGGTTTGATTCAGTTAAAAAATCCACTAAAGAACGCAACAACCGCCGCAAAAAAAGACAATAAGTGTGTAGGGAAGCCATCGACGGGTCAGATTGCCAAAGAACCTCAAAAGAACCCCAAGTTATTGAAGTCGGTTTCGAGAAATTATTCTGGTATTTTGAAGAAAAGTGGCTTCAAAAAGTCTTCGTCTGTTCCTACAAATGTTGCAACGATGAGCTCTGGTCCTGATGACAAACGCCTGTCAATGGAAATTACTTCGGATGCACCGCGTGCCGAGTGAGTCTACTTCCTGGACTGAATGCTGATTTAATTATTAACATCTGCTCTTCAAACTCGGACGATTTTCATACCTCTGAATTTTTAAGGGAATGGATTGTTAACCTCTGGTCTGGGACTTCGGATTTAATGTTTGTTATCTAGTATATATTTCTAACGGGCATGTACGGGTTTATTTGGCTTGTTTTAACATTTGCCTTAATAATCTGATGTAAATTTTCAGCTGGAGTTTTCAGTGGTGGAAATTGGTTTAATCGGAGATACATTCTTAGTTTCATTATTTCACTTCTGGGTAAGGTTTTATAAATCACTGAAACGAAACTCTACATTCTTTGTACATCTTTCTATTGTTTATAAATGGCATGATGTAGAAATTTAACATCGAAAACTATGATATTGTGTAATGCATGTAAACAAATTTATGCAATGGTGTGGTGCATTTTAAGTATGACTAGAGCATGTGCTCATGAACATTGAATACATGAATAAGTTGCTGAGTACATTCCATCAATCAGGTCAACTGTTAAATATTTCTTGTATTATATTGTATATTTGTGATTTACCCGTTATTCAATGGACCTTTAGGAGCTTTTTTTATCAGTATAATATTATATGTTTACGAATTGTACTTTCGGAAAGGTTTGATAGTTATAAGAAAAATTTACATTCAGTCTTTTGAAGTTTTATATGTTAAAAAAAAAATTCATTGAAACACTGCAGGTGGATCGAGACTAGCACGGTTTGTCAGTGCCCCGATAGCTCACACGATAAGCTTTGGATTGAATGCATGAGAGTGCAATAAAATAAAATTCATTTATTTGTCTTTGCAAATAAATTATTTTCTTCGTCGCATCTTAATAGACATTGGATTCAGTCGTTGGACCTCTAATAACTAATATATTTTTTCCGACAACACATTTTCTTTCCAGGGCGCGTAAGTTTAATTTATTTGTTCATGTATTCACATTGAATCTTATTGATATCACATAATATAACGAACACTATCATTCTCATGTGAAGTTATTTTTAATTTTTTTTATTATTTTTCCCAACTGACTTTTTATTCTATTTTATTTTGAAAAAAAATTCATAATATTTATGCTTAATCAGATATATCTACAAATTTATACCATGACAAGTTCAACAACTTTTATAGAAAAAAAAAGTTACCTACAAAGATGAGGTGCTAAGGATTTAAGATTCGTGATTCTTTCTGATGGCAGAAGCGCGCTTTCGATTGAGCTTCGCAAGCAGCAACCGCGCGATTATTCACTCTACATATACGGCAAAATTATTTCGATATCGTCAACTGGCTATAAAAAGTGTAAAGGTTTTTGTCGTCAATTTAACGAACAGTTGTTTTTGAATCCAAAGCTATCATTATGCCTAAGCCATTT